CATTCGGAACGTATTCAGACCCCTTCACTTTTTCCACATTTTGTTATGTTAGAGCAAAAAAAAAAAAAAAAGATTAAATAAAACTAATTCCTACATCTGTATTTGGGGAGTTTCTCCCATTCTTCTCTGCATATGCTCTCAAGCTCTGTCAGGTTGGATTGGGAGTGTCGCTGCACAGCTATTTTCAGGTCTCTCCAGGGATGTTCTATCAGGTTCAAGTCCGGGCTTTGGCTGCGCCACTCAAGGACATTCAGAGACTTGTCCCGAAGCCACTCCTGCGCTGTCTTGGCTGTGTTGGAAGGTGAGCCTTTGCCCCAGTTTGAGGTCCTGAGCGCTCTGGAGCAGGTTTTTATCAATGATCTCTCTGTACTTTGCTCCGTTCACCTTTCCCTCGATCCTGACTAGTCTCCCAGTCCCTGCCGCTGAAAGACATCACCACAGCATGATGCTGCCACCACCATGCTTCACCGTGGAGATGGTATTGGCCAGGTGATGAGTGGTGCCTGGTTTCCTCCAGACGTGCCGCTTGGCATTCAGGCCAAAGAGTTCAATCTTGGTTTCATCAGACCAGAGAATCTTGTTTATTGAGAATCTTGAGTATTTTAGGTGCCGTTTGTCTATCTCTAAGCTGTCATGTGCATTTTACTGAGGAGGGGCTTCTGTCTGGCCACTCTACCATAAAAGCCTGATTGGTGGAGTGCTGCAGAGATGGTTGTCATTCTGGAAGGTTCTCCCATCTCCACAGAGGAACTGGAGCTCTGTCAGAGTGACCATCGGGTTCTTGGTCACCTCCCTGACCATGGCCCTTCTCCTCCGATTGCTCAGTTTGGCTGGGAGGCCAGATCTAGGAAGAGTCTTGGTGGTTCCAAACTTCTTCCATTTTTACAATGATGGAGGCCACTGTGTTCTTGGGGACCTTCAATGCTGCAGAAGTGTTTTGGTACCCTTCCTGTCTCGGAGCTCTACGGACAATTCCTTCGACCTCATGGCTTGGTTTTTGCTCTGACATGCGCTGTCAACTGTGGGACCTTATATAGACAGGTGTGTGCCTTTCCAAATCATGTCAAATCAATTGAATTTACCACAGGTGGACTCCAATCAAGTTGTAGAAACATCTCAAGGACGATCAATGGAAACAGGATGCACCTGGGCTCATTTTCGAGTCTAATAGCAAAGGGTCTGAATACTTATGTAAATGAGGTATTTCTGTTTTATTTTTATTTTATATATTTGCTAAAATTTCAAAAAACCTGTTTTTGCTTTGTCATTATGGGGCATTGTGTGTAGACTGATGAGGATTTTTATTTTATTTAATCCATTTTAGAATAAGGCTGTAACCTAACAAAATGTGGAAAAAGTTAAGTGGTCTGAATACTTTCCGAATGCACTGTACCTCATACCTGGGGTGAGTTGCGCCAAGAGACTGTAATGTTTACATGTATTCTGATTATTTCCAGGGATACACAACATCCTAAATTATATGTAGATATACTGTATTTGTTAGAAAGAATGCTATATTTCCCTTGATGAAGTGGTGCTGAATGTAACTTACCCCTCTCTCCCCTATTCTTGTGGAGTACACAAATCTAGCTATAGTTTCTGTATTCATCTAGGCTTGGCACCACTTCCACAGTCTGAGACAATGCTGCTAAGATGCCTATTTGGAAAGTCAGGGGAAACAGTCATGACACTCCTTGTTACTAAACTCCCATCCACACAGAGAGCTGTTTGCTTGCCCTTTAACACCTCATCTGACATGCACCGTATACAAATGAGACTCCGTCTCCCACGGGGCCACTCTCTAAGGTTAGCGACTGCACACTGCATGGCATATGAGGCCTTTTAATGAGCCCATTTGATTAGTTTGGCTGAATCAGACCCCACTTGGCTATCCAGGTACACACACAAAAAGACTCAATAAGAGCAACGGTGAGGTTTAATAGATGTTAAAGCTGGGGGGTAGGACCACACCTCAGCAATCAGGCACAATCACGAGTGGATATTACACAGAGACCAAGAGCTGAAGAACATGCTCCATTATCACAAACTTGATTTGAAAATTCAACAGGTGTTCTGCTGAATTGTTTATTGTGTATAAAACGTGTTGATGATGTTAGAACAGTGTTTTATCATACAGTAGCTGTACACTTTCTCCATGTTCCCCACTGATACTTTGTCAGGGAAATGTCCAGCATCTTCACCAACATCTGAAGTCTAGTGATGAATTTAAGAGACAATTACATTGATCCACCTTGATGTTATAAGCAATATAGTTTTGTGAGCATAATCAATTTGATTGACTGATTGCTAAGTGTTTGGCCTCCAGACTTTTTAGAGGAGATGATTATGGGGGAAAGAATGCTGCCTACAACTGAACACCAGCTAACCCCTGCTGCTTCCCTCTTGGCCCAAGATGGCTGCCACTGCCTGCTCAGCCAGTCGCTGTCCCTTCAAGTCAAATGATTTGGGGAAGAACGACACTGGGGCTAATTGCATGTTCTGTAATGTTGACAGTACTTGTTTTCATCTTGCTGTAGATACTGGGCAATGGCAATGCAAAGGAAGTTAATTGACGGTGCGTGTGTGCGTGTGTGTTGGCAGCAGCTGAGGGAGGCTAGATATGTGCTCTCTGGTCCCCTCTCCACCAGCTGTGCCTCGTCATGCCATCCCTGGGTCGCTGCCACCCCACCAGCCCACCCTTACCCCGGCACACACACTACCACATAGCTACACACAACTTCAGAAGCCCTTTTAAACCTCAAATACACTACAGGTTTTAAATGTCCTGCTTTGCAGAAAAGGTTTCCTGCAACAGGGTGATCAAAATAAGATCCTTCATCTGTATGTCATATCTGTCCTAGGGTACAAAAGAGATGACACTTCTCCTCTAACTGTATATTTACATGTCACCCACTGGCCCTCTTTGAAACAAACTTGTCCCATATAAATACAGGATTGCACAACACTCTTCCTTAATTTAGCCTAATGTTTGCATCTGAGGGCAACATTAGGATCTGAACATGCAGTATCTTTGAAAACGTGTTAATACGCTATGGTGATCTGTGTGTCAGGGGCAGCACTTTTGACAGATAATTAAATGTTTGCGCCCTTTAACTCTGCTCTTCTATTACGAAGGATGACCAACCTATTTTGACCATTCTCAGACTAATACAAAATATTGTAGACGTGTTGTTTGAACATTTGATAGAAAAGACAAGTATGATAGCAGCCATTTTGACTTGAGCCTTGTGTAAATGTAAGCAGATCGTGTCCTATTACCACTGAGTATTAGAATACATAAGAAACATAGACTTATCAGAAAACTAATATAATATATTTGATATGCCATGATGAAGTAAAGCCATGTTAAGTTCTGTTGATCCATAAAATAAAATAAATGTCCCCCATGAAGGGTGGCACTGCTTTCCCTGGCATTATGTCTGGCAGTTATTTTGGCATGCGTGGCATGGCGGGTTCTGTCAACTTTTGAGTGGTCTTGGCAGAGCCTGTCTCAGGGCACAGGTCTGACCCTGTCTTCTGTCCAAGGCCCACGGCCAGGGAAAGAGAATGATCGATGATTTGTCGTCTGGACTACGCTGTGTTGCAGCGCGGCAGGGGCGTCCAGCTGGCCTCGATCCACGGACGCCGTCCTGTCACGGAATGGACGCACCGACAGCATAGCCAACAGAACGTCACCCCTCAGCACACCCCATGCTGACAGCCTATTGTTCAAAAGGTGAAATGGCCACTGTTATGAAATCGAAGAGGGTTACAGTTTCATACAGTCTTATAACCAAATACTTCCCCAATTTCCTTGCAAATGTCCTTTGTCAGTGGCAACTCAGTCATACAATTAGCACATTAATGAAATTATTTTAATTTAAATAATAAAAAATATGGTTACACTGTCCCTGTTAGGCTTACTGTCTGGTTCTTTAATGGTAAACACAAAGAAAGACTTTCCAAACATGTTCAGTGAGAATAATGGAGCAGAACACAGTCCAATGGGCATGAAACCAAATTCATAAAGGCCACTCAGGGAGAAAGGTGCGAGGATAAAGATTTGTGGATCAAATGCTCCGGCATGAAAAATGCAGTGTGCCAAATTGAATGATGATGAGGACACTTCAGGCACTAAATGGAACAAAAACACAGAAAGAAGCACCAGGCCTTGGCTGGAGTGCTGCCTTCTCTAGTGAAAAACACTGACACACCATAATAAACAAGGTCAAAAGCTGTCAGGAGAGGTTACCTAAAACCACACCACAATAATAGCCTTTTCTTTTCACTGCTGTTTAGGCAGAGAGTCACGCCAAGGTAGACCAGCAGACAAAGGTCTTAACCCTTGACAGGAATGTCTGCTGTTGAATACAGTGTGTCTCATGAGGAACACACTGGGCATTGATGTGAAGCTAGGCAGTCATCTGTCCTGAATAGACATTATGAAATGTAATGAGAAGCTCTGATGTGATATGACTTTCTTGGAAAATTATCTAATTGTGACTCATAGCAACCCAAAGTCTTTGGTGTTTCATTTTGAACTGGTCCTAAACGGCACTATGTTAGGTTCCTTTGTGTGCTATTGATAAAACCAAGGTTATTAAAAGGTGTGTTGCATTTGGGCTGTAATGAAATCCGGCAGCAGGGTAGCTCTGCAGGAGGAGGGGTGGCTACCCTTGTCTTAGGAGTCACTATGCAATTCAAACCCTGTTTATGGTGTAGATGTGTGCATGATGTGTCTGCATATTTCTCTTCCATTAACACACATTCAGACATCTCTATACACTAGGTCCGTGGTAATAATAGGCAGTAATGAGTTATGAATATTTGTCTAAACGTCTGTGCTGCTCACAGTCTCTGACTGCTATGAGGTGGCTGAGTTCACACGGGTGAGGAGGACAGGAAGGTCACGCTCATTACTCTTTCTGTCACTGCCCGCCCCCCGCCCCCCTCCTCTTTCCCTCTCTCCCTTCCTCCCTCCCTCCACTCCTATCATTTATTTATCTGCGCCAGCCCTCAATTACATTCGGTGGTCCAGGGGTCAGGGAGCGGGCCGGGGCGACCCCAGGTTCGACTGGCTAATGAATGAGGGAGACAGAACCCCTCATGTTTATTTCCCAGCTTTGCTGAGAGCAGGAGTCCCAGGAGAGACGGAGACAAGGCTGCTGAATGATAATCAGCACTTTGTGTTTTAATACGCCTGGTCTACTCCCCCGGCATATGGAGAGATGGAAGGATGAGGGGAGAAGTGAGCCACTTATAGGGATGATGGTTGTATCTAAGGAAGTGACTCAGGCTCGTGTCCCCTGAAAGGGAATGGTTGTAGACGAATGGGCTGTGAATCAGGTGCTCTGTCGCTCGCCTGAAAGCAGGTGGCCATTTGTGTCCTACACTAATACCACCTCATTCTATAATACAGACCATTCCATTTTCAGGAGCCATCGCTTAACTGGGGAGCAAATGAAAGTGTTGGCATATGTTGAATGTGAAACATTTTGTTTTGCACTGAATAGTTTCTTATTGCAAACTGCAAAGCTGCATGTCACAAACTGTTAGCCCTTTTCTAGATCACGGGACTGTAATGTGCTTGGATACATTTATTAAATAATTTGGACACCAGCCTAGATAATATCTACACTCAAGTTATTTTGGTCCCTTAACTTCACTCTGTCTAATGTAACATGACTGACTGGCTGTTTCATATAGAAGTGTTGACCCAAATACTGGAAGTCAGTCAGGGAGGTGCTTGTCCTTCAGACTGACTTTTAACCGTGCTGGCCTAAGCAGAATTAAGTCTTGGTGTGTGTATGTGTAGGAGGGTGATGGTGAGTGGGTGGAGGAGTGGGATCAAGTGGCCTACAGCATTTCAAAACATTTATACAAACTGCATCTGACTCATATTGTTTGATTTTTCACTGTTTTATTTAAAACTGATGAAACTGGTTTACAAAATGCAGTTCAGTGTATTCTGTATAAACTTTCATCCAGGGTACATTATTACAGGCAGTGATAAGTTAGCTTCATGTTAGTTAAATGCCAAGTTTATTGAAATGCCTATAAGTTATTAATGTTGTTTTAATAAGATGAGACAGATGCAACAAGTCTCAATACCATTAACTACAGTATTTGACATGTTAATGTGTTTACATGTTGTGTGTGTGTGTGTCTCTTTCTGTGCATCCAGGAGTCTCTCCTTTGGATCCAGGACACACTCACACACACTGCACCCCAGCGTCCTCGTTGTGTTGACAGTTGCTGACGCCCAGGCCGTTGTGGGGGCAGTCAAACACACTGGTCTCTGTGCCTTTGCAGCGCAGGTCATCTAACCAGATCTTACCCATTCCTAAAAGAATCACAACACAATCCACAAGCTAAGTCCAGGAGATTCAACAATGAACAGTGAGCAATTTATGAATATCTATAGTGTGAAACAAAACTCAACCACGAAAGGATCTCTATACATCCTCAGAAGGAACAAACAGACAAAACCAAATGGAGTATCTATCGAAGTGATAAGGTAGAGGATGGACTCACCGGCGCTGGCTGTGAAGACTGTAGAGGCTCTTTGGTACCCCAGCATCTGGCAGAGCACCGTCCCGTCCAGTGTGTCAAAGCTGTCGTCACACACCGTACCCCACTGCCCCAACCACATCACCTCCACTCTCCCACGAGCCCCCCCGCCAGCAATACGCACATTCGCTGTCATCAGATAGAGACATTTGAAAATACTTTATGCATGCATGTGATTGAAAATGAATTGTTGTGAGGACAGACCCTGGGAGACAGGAAGCAAGTATAGGGAGTGAGCATTTAATGGAAAAAACAGACAGGAACAAAACACGGACAGCGTCTGAACAGGGGAAACGAAACAACATCAATGCTGACACCGGGATCAAACAGAGGAATAGACAGCTATAGGGGAGGTAATTAACAAAGGGAAGGAGTCCTGGTGAGTCCAATGAGCGCTGATGCGCGTAACGATGGTGACAGTTGTGCGTAATGATGTGCAGCCTGGCGCCCTCGAGCACCAGGGAGGGGGAGCGGGAGCATATTCACATGAATATTCAGTTAAATGAATAAATATCATATTTAAATACAGAAAATATTTAGGTAAATAAATGCACATCAGCACATATGTGTGTGTGTTTGTGTCTGTGAGGCTCCACAGCTCCACACACTCACCTGGTCCAGCTCCTCTTTCACCCTTCTCTCCACGTGGACCTTGGCTTCCAGGACTTCCCTGCAACCCTGGAAAACCTAGGACATACAGAAGTAAAAATTAAACACACACACGCAATCCCGCACAGATGCACACACACAAAAATTAAGCACACTCACACGCAATCCCGCACACGCATGCACACACGCACACGCATACACACACACATACACACACACACACACACACACACAGACACACACACACAGACACACACACACCAGGAAATCCTCTTGTTCCATTAACACCAGCAGGTCCTCTTGGTCCTATGGAAGAACAACAAGAACCACAGATTTGTCCAAGAAGTCATACATGATTAAAATAACACTTAACGGTAGGAGAATATAATAAAGAAAATGTAGACCATCTACATAACCTGTCATTCTTGTAATCAACTGTTTGAAGGACGTGATTATGAGGTTCCTATAGCTCAGAAACAGTGTGAGACTCACCTTCAGGTCCTATGGGTCCAGGTTGTCCTATCAGCCCTGTGTCACCCTTCGGACCACGGGCCCCTTTTAATCCACCACGCCCCTGGACTCCTGGAAGATTCACAGCACACTATGTCACACTCGCTCTACAATGTGGAGGCTATACAGTACAGTAAAGATGAAAATGCAAAAATCTGAAGAAATTCGCACACAGTCACACACACTAACACAGACAACCTCATGCTTGGCCTCATGAAACAGTTAAACATCAACAGTTATTTACCAGTGTCCCCTTTGGTCCCGTTCTGGCCTGGTATCCCGGGTAAACCTGTGAAGAGGTTGGGAGGTTAAAGGTTAGAGCAAGAGAATAGAATAAAGGCCAGGTTCAGTTTATTGTTGAATACTAAAAAATAGGTTGTTTACATGTGAGCCCTTCAAATATGCAAATATGCACAGAGAAGTATATCTCTGTGTCCAGTATGAAGGAAGTTAGAGATAGTTTCACGAGCCAATGCTAACTAGCGTTAGCACAATGACTGGAAGTCTATGGGTATCTGCTAGCATGCTATAGGACTTCCAGCCATTGTGTTAACGCTAGTTAGCATTGGCTCGTCATTGCACTAACGCTAATCAGCATTGGCTCACGCAACTACCCCAATGTACTTCATACTGGACACAGATACATAAAAAGGGTATCCACAAGTTCATCTGACTCTGGAGAAGTATATAAAGGGCCCCATTGCCAAAATCCCGAAGTATCCCTTTAAGCCCATGCAGACTCACCAATGTGTCCCATATCCCCCTTTGGTCCCGGTGGTCCTGACAGCCCAGGGGGTCCTGAACAGTTAGTGGCTGCACTGTCTGTATGACACATAATCAGAGTTCTGTATACACGAACGTACACACACGCACACACAATATCCACTAAAGAGAATCAAATACAGTGGGGAAAAAAATTATTTAGTCAGCCACCAATTGTGCAAGTTCTCCCACTTAAAAAGATGAGAGAGGCCTGTAATTTTCATCATAGGTACACGTCAACTATGACAGACAAATTGAGAATTATTTTCTCCAGAAAATCACATTGTAGGATTTTTTATTTATTTGCAAATTATGGTGGAAAATAAGTATTTGGTCACCTACAAACAAGCAAGATATCTGGCTCTCACAGACCTGTAACTTCTTCTTTAAGAGGCTCCTCTGTCCTCCACTCGTTACCTGTATGAATGGCACCTGTTTGAACTTGTTACCAGTATAAAAGACACCTGTCCACAACCTCAAACAGTCACACTCCAAACTCCACTATGGCCAAGACCAAAGAGCTGTCAAAGGACACCTGAAACAAAATTGTAGACCTGCACCAGGCTGGGAAGACTGAATCTGCAATAGGTAAGCAGCTTGGTTTGAAGAAATCAACTGTGGGAGCAATTATTAGGAAATGGAAGACATACAAGACCACTGATAATCTCCCTCGATCTGGGGCTCCACGCAAGATCTCACCCCGTGGGGTCAAAATGATCACAAGAACGGTGAGCAAAAATCCCAGAACCACACGGGGGGACCTAGTGAATGACCTGCAGAGAGCTGGGACCAAAGTAACAAAGCCTACCATCAGTAACACACTACGCCGCCAGGGACTCAAATCCTGCAGTGCAAGACGTGTCCCCCTGCTTAAGCCAGTACATGTCCAGGCCCGTCTGAAGTTTGCTAGAGTGCATTTGGATGATCCAGAAGAGCATTGGGAGAATGTCATATGGTCAGATGAAACCAAAATATAACTTTTTGGTAAAAACTCAACTCGTCGTGTTTGGAGGACAAAGAATGCTGAGTTGCATCCAAAGAACACCATACCTACTGTGAAGCATGGGGGTGGAAACATCATGCTTTGGGGCTGTTTTTCTGCAAAGGGACCAGGACGACTGATCCGTGTAAAGGGAAGAATGAATGGGGCCATATATCATGAGATTTTGAGTGAAAACCTCCTTCCATCAGCAAGGGCATTGAAGATGAAACGTGGCTGGGTCTTTCAGCATGACAATGATCCCAAACACACCGCCCGGGCAACGAAGGAGTGGCTTCGTAAGAAGTATTTCAAGGTCCTGGAGTGGCCTCCAGATCTCAACCCCATAGAAAATCTTTGGATGGAGTTGAAAGTCTGTGTTGCCCAGCGACAGCCCCAAAACATCACTGCTCTAGAGGAGATGTGCCAAAATACCAGCAACAGTGTGTGAAAACCTTGTGAAGACTTACAGAAAACGTTTGACCTGTGTCATTGCCAACAAAGGGTATATAACAAAGTATTGAGAAACTTTTGTTATTGACCAAATACTTATTTTCCACCATAATTTGCAAATAAATTAATTAAAAATCCTACAATGTGATTTTCTGGATTTTTTTCCTAATTTTGTCTGTCATAGTTGACGTGTACCTATGATGAAAATTACAGGCCTCTCTCATCATTTTAAGTGGGAGAACTTGCACAATTGGTGGCTGACTAAATACTTTTTTTACACAGGGGAACTTCACCCCTTTTAACATCATATACATTATCTCTGGCACCATAGCAATGGCTACAAGTCGTGAAGTGGCTGTGCTAAGAAAAATGTACTGTATTTGTGGTGAAGCAAGTAGAACTCCAAAATTGCTTTATTTCCAGATAGTAATGCATTTACTCAGCACTTCTAATTTCAATTCAGAGGACTTAAAATGGACAGATTTCACAATGATGATCTGCTGATATGGTTTCCGAATTACTGTGACAACAGGAACAGAAATTGAGAAGGCTGAAATGGAAGTGGAACTACTGCCTGGAAATGTCACATGTTAATTTGATTCATGATAACTTCATATTTATGATAACTCATAATATAGGATAATATAAAAGATAGATTTAGTGGGGAATATTTGTATTTATGACTCTGTTATCCCCAAAAGTGGAGTTTGAGTCTATTGTCAGGAGTGGATCTCCTACCTATTCCAGACCGTAAGAGAATAAGGCCTTGTGCTCACCAGGCTGTTAAAAATATCAATTTCCGTTCATGGAGAGAAAGAATAGTATCTGCCTGGGCAGCAACAGCAGCAGCAGCAGCTTTAACCATCTAACCTACACTTTATAAAACGCATTAACGTCCCCCCTCGAAAGCTTTTGAAGAATCAGGGCTTGTTTTTCAGCTATAACAAATGCAAAGTCCTGGAGCAAGTTCAGCCAATCAAATATGAATCAAAGGCATATTTTATTTTGATTGGGCTGTGGGACATCAAGTGCACGACACACGTTTACTCTGTGACGGATGGGGTGAAAGAGGGGGAGAGAGGCGGAGTCAGAATGAAAAAGGGGTAATATTCAGTATTCCTGACACTTAATCACCCAACTCCACCTGCAGATCTGGCCCCTGTGAAACTGTCAATAATTAATCTAGCCTCTGAATGTCTCTTAGACTAAAAGAGCTCATTAATACCACAGTACTTCAACCAAACTATGGTGAAATATTCCCAGCCTGTCCACTAAGGAGCTGTAAAGTTAGTGTTGATGAATGGGTCATTGTCATGGTAAACAGTCAACTTATCCACCATGTTCTCCAAAACTCTACTGCTTGAGTTCTATCCCATGTTAGTACTACTGGACTGGTTCTATGTTAGTACTAATGGACTTACCTGGTGCACCAGCTGGTCCTTGTGGTCCAGTGGCACCATCTTCACCTGAAACATTTACATGTTATAGAGTTGATGTACTGGATTGAGATCATTAGTGGTAGAACCACAAGAGAACTCTGTGTGAGCCAGTGGAAATGAGCATTAAGAACCACAGACTACTAAATGCATTGTTATGACATAAAATATCAGTAATAATGTCACATTTCCTATTGGGGTTTATATTGAGGTTAAGGTTTGATGTCAGTAGGAGTAAGGTGAATCACCTTTGGGTCCGGGTTCCCCTGGTTCTCCATTGGCTCCAGTCTGGCCATCAACTCCAGGGTCTCCTTTTTGTCCTGTCTCACCTAGAACACAGTAACCCTCTCATTATCTACTGTCTCACCTGGAACACAGTAACCCTCTCACTATCTACTGTCTCACCTGGAACACAGTAACCCTCTCACTATCTACTGTCTCACCTGGAACACAGTAACCCTCTCACTATCTACTGTCTCACCTAGAACACAGTAACCCTCTCATTATCTACTGTCTCACCTGGAACACAGTAACCCTCTCACTATCTACTGTCTCACCTGGAACACAGTAACCCTCACTATCTATTTATATACAAAAGCAAACATTAAATGTTACTGCGTGAATCACATCAAATCAACTTTACAGATCACAGATCACCTGACAGAGAAAGGTCTGTATGAAACATTATTGATATTGAGTCTGATGGATTCTTAACTTTTCTTTGATGGATTATGTTATTGCAAAAATACAATCATTGCCTCAAAAAATGGCACCTTTCCATGTTAGCTGACTGAAAGTGGCTGCCTGCTTACTTAACCGCTATAGTTAGCATCCATTCTATAGTATGATGAAGGATGGCATTTTGGTAGGACGACCTATTGGAAAACGCCTGACTCAGGCTCGCATGGTAATCTGTTAGCTTGTGTGAAAGTCCATCCCTGATTGAGACTTCATACAGGGGTAAATGTCAGTGCATTGACTAAGCAGTGGGTTATTATGAAACGGAGAGGCAGGCAGATCATTCATCCTCCACTTCCTCTGATCCTGACTGGAGATGACAGGTCATCAGTGCACAGATCATTACAGGACAGACTAGCGGATAAATGCTAATGCTACATATTTCCTCTCCTACAACCTTACAATGTGTGGTAGAGTTAGATTGGTGCTGAGCTAACATTGGCTGTTGCAGTGATGCAGTGATGCCACTACAATTGAGCAATGCAGCGCATTATGTGGACTCACCTGTGTCTCCTTTTTCCCCCCTCGCACCAGGTGGACCTAGGGGAACCACAGCATCAAATTACATGTGAATTACAAGCATGTGGTGTAAGGGACATTGATACCTCTCTTCCTCTCGTCTGTGGTTGTTGATTCGGCACTAAGGATGAGGGAACTTACCAGTAGGTCCCTGTGGGCCTGGTGGAGCTGCAATGCAACAACACTTTATTATTACACCAAATACATTCTTGTGTTGTAATTTATACTTTGCAAAGCATAATGACAAAAACATGATATGCTAATCTCATACAACACAAGGGCCAATTGCTCTACAACCCAAAATGTGGGTGTATACCTACCTCCATGTGTACCCATATTTTATATCAAATGTAAGAACTATCAACCTGGACATCCTGCCATTTTTTACAGTAGCTACCTTTGAGGAATCTGAGTGCTTTCACTGTGTCCTGAAGGAGAGTGGTGCTGGCATTGACCACGCCCAGGTCCGTCCTCAGCTGGCCCAGCTGGCCATCCTCCCCACATAGGTTGGTGACCTGGGTCTGTAACCTCCCCAGGTCTCCTCTGAGAGAGGTGGACTCCAGGCTGGTGTTTCTGGCCAGGGTACGGAGGTCCTCCTCCTGGTCCGTCCCTAGGGGGATGTGGATGTCGGTCAGCGTCGCTGTCCTGGAGCCAGAGGAGGAGAAACTACTAGACTCCATCGAAAAGACTGGGGGGAGGTGCACAGAGAGAGACAAAAAGTGTCACTAATACAGGAAGTCGTGTGATGCAGTTCAGGATATAATGGAAAATCTGGTTTCTCATTTACATTAGACAAACGTATTTGAACCATTTTGGACATAAAACCAACCAATGGTTGATGTACCTTTATACAGGAGGAAGGCATTCAGTGCAGTCAGAAGGATGAGGTAAATGACAATAACATTCAGACATCGCTGTGCTCCTCTGGCCTTGGCTGGTTTTAGATCTGAAACATGTTGACATGAACACAAACTATTTATGCTACATTCCAAATGGGGCTCTAACATCTACCCCCCTAGGCACTCCTGTAGATCTGAAAGGATCTAAAGGGTGGAAGCTCACTACTGTTGAATCACCAAGCCTTTGGTCAAGAATAACTTACGAGTCAAAATGTTGCCACTGTGACCCCCAGGTCCACCCCTGTAACCCCCAGGTCCGCCCCTGTAACCCCCAGGTCCGCCCCTGCGACCCCCAGGTCCACCCCTGCGACCCCCAGGTCCACCCCTGCGACCCCCAGGTCCACCCCTGTGACTCCCAGGTCCGCCCCTGCGACCCCCAGGTCCGAACCTGCGACCCACAGGTCCACCCCTGCGACCCCAGGTCCACCCCTGCTTACCGCTGCTCTGGAAGGTGTACATGTCAGTCCTGCTCAGCTTCATGTCCAAGTCATACAGTGGGTTACTCTGGCAGAACGAGCTGATGTGATCCTCTCCTCTTTCTACTGATGTCTCCATGTTACTCCAAAGTGAGATCCTCCTCAAGGCCCTCTTATAACAACACATCATTACGTAAACAACATAAAATCCACCCATTTAACACATAGCGGAAGTCATCTGATTTGGGGCTGAGGTAGCAAAAATGAGCTACATTGGTAGTGGTAAGAGCAATCTGTTGAAAAAGGGAAGTAGCATGGGTACATAAGTTTGGATTAACCTGACACTGAACTCTACATCTCCTGCTAAGAATGTCAGTTCCATTGCCTTTTGTAGGAAATACTGTTTCTCTCTCTCTCTCTCTCTCTCTCTCTCTCTCTCTCTCTCTCTCTCTCTCTCTCTCTCTCTCTCTCTCTCTCTCTCTCTCTCTCTCTCTCTCTCTCTCTCTCTCTCTCTCTCTCTCTCTCTCTCTCTCTCTCTCTCTCTCTCTCTCTCTCAGTTGTCAAATCCTAATGAGGACAGCGCTGAACAGGTTCATCTGATTTTTGATTGCATCCTGCCACCCTGTGGTCATTGGACAGAAGGCAATCTAATGAATGAAAACAACACTTCCCTGCCTGCCCTAATGTGCATTTAACGGGGCTGTGCACTGCAGTCGATTGGATTAGATGAGGGAAATGTGGCTCTATCTCAATTGCCTAAATCTGTCCTCTCCTTGGCCATGTTCCACAGCTAAGGCGATGTAATGCAGCAACCAATGGTTGCGTGCCACGTCATCGACTGTGTCATAAACTGACAAATTGCTATAACATATGATGTGGTTAGCTGATACTTAAAATACCTATCCAGGCGTTGGATGATCTGTCAGGTGTCAGCAACGTCTAAGCTCTGGAATGGGGCCCTTGTCTCCACCCCTTCATCTGCACTGATCAGTGCTGTGAAGGAAAGGAGGAGAGGATAAGTAGCCTACGCCCAAACCTGTTGATATACATTCTGACAGCAGAGATCCCTAATGATGACAGGAACTGTGGAAAGAGGTTCTCTGCATCAGAAACACAAAAACCACCAAGGACATCCACAAGGGTGAGACAAACCCAAAGAGTACAGCCTACCAGCTCACTCAGGAGAGAGACCTCACCACAGCACTCTGTGCGATATGAATGTCTCAGGATTATGTTCTTGAAAGACACCCAAAAGCCCATTCTGATGGGAATACGGCCCACCTAAAACCGTATCTTTATCAGGTGTGTGAGAAGAGATTCATTAGATCAGGCACCTTGACAAATCACCTCCACATTTACACTGGAGAGAAACCTAACCATTGCGAAGAGTGTGAAGAGCAGATCTCTCAGCCATGGCACCTGAAACAACACCAGCACACTCAAACAGAAGGAGGGAACCCCTTAACTTATTCTCATTGTGGAAAGACCTTCACTGAATCAAAGCCCTAGGGAAACCCCAGAAATTACATAGCCAACAGAAACTGTATCTTTGATCTGACTACGGGAAGAGTTTCTTGACATCAGAGAGACTGAAGAAACACCAGGCAACACATACAGTAGAGAGACGTTAACACTGCTCTCAGTGTGACAGGAGTTTCACTCAGTTGGGGCACTTAGCCAAACACCAAAGGACTCACACCGGAGAGAAGCCCTGTCTCTTCCGTGTGGGCATCGATTCAGACGACCACTGTGTCTAGAAACACATCAGTGGATTAATTCAGGGGAGAGGCCATACCTCTGCCCACAGTGTCGACAAGGTTTCTCCCATCCAGGACACCTAACCCGGAAGGTTATTTTTTTTGGTATTTTGAATCACAGTTGGTGCATACAGAGAACAGCTCTTCAGCAATCTAGCAACATCTTTACTTTGGTTTGGTGAGTAACTTGTTAATATTGAATCCAGTCACTAAACAAATTGGTCATACATTTCGTCTATGGAGTTTAACATTGTTCAATAGTAGTAGTTTGGAAATGGCGCTGGAATGTATAGTGACTGTTTTATGGGCTCCTGACCAATTATGCTATTTTGTGTGTTTTTTTCCGCTGATCTTAATTGTTTTTGTACAAAATGTTTCCGCCATAATTTCCTATGACCCAGAAAAAATTCTGGACATAAGAACAGTGATCACTAACCTTGATTTGGATGAAGATGTCTACTTCAATGAGTCGGCGGCGCTGGACATATTGCTCAACCCAGGCCCTAATCCCCGACACTCGGAAGAGAAAGAAACTACGGCAGCGAGTAAATAAACATCCTCTACCCTCTGTTCTACTGGCGAATGTACAATCACTGGAGAACAAACTGGAGGAGCTCCGTTCGAGACTATCCTATCAACGGGACCTGAAGAACTGTAATATCCTATGCTTCACAGAGTCGTGTATATAAATATAAATCTAGCTGATATTTCTATGCATTGGCAGGACAGAACAGCAGCCTCGGGTAAGCTCAAGGGGGGTGGTGTGTGTCTCTTTGTTAACAACAGCTGGTGCGTGATCTCTAATATTAAGGAAGTCTCGAGGTTCTGCTCACTTGAGTTAGAATACCTCATGATAAGCTGTAGACCATACTATTTACGAAGAAAGTTTTCATCTATGTTTTTAGCTGTCTATTTACCACCACAAACCGATGCTGGCACTAAGACCACACTCAACGACCTGTATTTGGCTATAAGCAAACAAGAAAATGCTCATCCAGAGGCGGTGCTCCTAGTGACCGGGGATTTTAATGCAGCAAAACTGAAATCCTTCTTACCTCATTTCTACCAGCAGGTCACCTTTGCAACTAGAGGAAAAAAACTCTTGATCACCTTTACTCCACACACAGAGATGCATACAAAGCTCTCCCTCGCCCTCCATTTGGCAAATCTGACCATAACTCTATCCTCTTGATTCCTGCTTACAAGCAAAAACTCAAACAGAAAGTACCAGTGACACGCTCAATACAGAAGTGGTCCGATGAAGTGGATGCTCAGCGACAGGACTGTTTCATTCTGAATGCAGGTTGCGGGTGTCAGAGTGCACTCAGAGTGTGCTTTGGGTGTTCATAAATGCTTCAATGCGCCTTGGCATACAATTGTCTGGGACTCTATTGGAGGGATGTGACACCATTTATTAAATTCCATCATTTGGTGTTTTGTTGATGATGGTGGTGGAAAACGCTGTCTCAGGTACCGCTCCAAAATTTCCTATAAGTGTTCAATTGGGTTGAGATCTGGGGACTGAGACACACACACACACACACACACACACACACACACACACACTTTAAACCCCCTATGCTCCTTTGGATGTGTTTAGACAGGCAGCCCAATTCTGATATTTTTTCCCACTAATTGACCAATCAGATCAGCTCTGAAAAAGATCAGCTCTAAAAAGGCTAATAAGGCTGGTGGAACCATTCATAGAGGGTTCTAGGAAGAACCCTTCAAAAAATAAAAGGGTTCTCAGTAGGACCCTTCATAGAGGAACAACCTTTAGATCCCTTGAATTCAACTCTGGGCCTCAAAGACAATTCCACTGCTTTTTTTAAATTGTTCCACTCTAATTACATTGAATTATTTTATTTATTTGTACTTACAGTCTTGTCCCATCGCTGCAACTCCCATACAGACTCGGGAGAGGCGAAGGTCGAGAGCCATGCATCCTCTGAAACACGACCCTGTCAAGCCGCACTGCTTCTTGACACACTACTAGCTTAATTCTGAAGCCAGCTGCACCAATGTGTAGGAGGAAACGCCGTACAGCTGGCACCGAGGTCAGCGTGCATGCACCCTGCCCGCCACAAGGAGTCACTAGAGCGCAATGGGACGAGGACATCCCCGCCGGCCAAACCCTCCCCTATCCCGGACAACGCTGGGCCAATTGTGCACCGCCTCATGGGTCTCCCGGTCGCAGCCGGGATTGAACCCGGGTCTGTAGTGACGCCTCTAGCACTGCAATGCAGTGTCTTAGACCGCTGTGCCACTTGGGAGGCCCTCTAATTACATTTATCCAGAGAGACTTACAGGAGCAATTAGGGTTAAGTGTCTTGCTCAAGGGCACACCGGCAGATTTTTCTACCTAGTTTGCTTAGGGATTTGAAACAGTGACCTTCCAGTTACTGGCCCATTGCTCCTAACCGCTAGGCTACCTGCCGCTGATTTAGGGACACCAGGTGAGTGCAATTAGAGTTGAATACCCCTGCTTTAGATGATAAAAAGGTTCTTGGTAGAACCATTTATAGAGAGTTCTAGGAAGATCCCCTCATAGAGGATTTAGGCAGAACCATTTACAGAGGGTTCTATGAAGAACCCTTCATAGCGGGTTGTTGGTAGATTTTACCTAGCACCAAAAAGGGTTACCCTATTTAGGCAAGCCGGAGAAACCCTATGTGGTTCTACTTAGCACCTTTTTTTCTAAGAGTGTACACTTGCTCAAGTTCTTCTCTAAAATATCTGAATTTAAACGCATACATCAGTTGATAAGGTTTATATGTACTGATGTACTTACAATAATAAGGTCCATGAGGAGTTTGTCTCTTGAAACTAGTTTCTTTTTTGTATCACTAACCACGTTTCCATCCACAGTTTGTATGCTAGAAAAAGTCATACCGTATAAAAAAAAACATGACAGCTGCGATTGAAAGAGGACGTTTCGGTACAATTATATAAATGCAGACAGATCATTTGTTTGTTGGGCATGGGGGGATCTTTTTTAAAATTAATTATGCGAGAAATGGCAGTGGAAACATCATATCGAAGTAAACTCGGGAAACCATGCAGTTTATTAGCCTACAGATTAAATAAGTTATGATGAACTTCACAGGGTGGTGAAAGTGCATGGTATGAGCTTGATTCTCCTTTCCAATAAATGTTGAGGGTCTTATTCTGTTGACAAGCAGAGACTGTGTGGGTAGGCCACAGAGCTTAACCACACTGTATCTGTGAGCTGATGGCTGGAGCGCACGTGCCAAGACCAGACTAGGCACATTTGCTATTTAATGCAACAGTGTTTGTGACAAAACTATTGGTAGAATTGAAAATGTGATGGAAACACATTGAACATTAGATTTGTATTAGGTACATGAAGACTTACGCAAAA